AAAAAAAGAAAAAGATCAATTAAGAATCCTATCTATACGAGTTATGTTTAACCAATCTGATTTGATCGAATAATTTGCTAATAATTTCAATATGTCGTTGAATTTATGAACGATGTAAGAAGAAACGATCAAAGGACAACATTGTATAGAAGGTTTGATATTGCTACGATTCCAACAATAACAACAACAACAACAACAAGTAAACAATTCGCTGACCTAATTTGTTAATTGTTTCCCGAGCGTTGCAACATTTCATTTATGAATGTTTACGTATTTAACTTAGTCAACCATTAATTACCAATCGGTATTCAACAGACGATAAAATAATAACCTTTAATTTCATAGAAGAGAAAATGTGAGGGACGGAAATTTCTAAAATATCCTGGAGATTTTGAGGATCCTGAATGGGTAGGAGAGATATCATGTATGAAAAAGCTGACATGTCAAATTATTCTATCATTATCGATCTTAATGGATGAATACCCGGGACATCGAATAAATAACAAGCCTACCACATACTTCACCCTTTCGTCTTTACCAATCTTCAACTTTTCTTAAATGTAGTGCAACCAATGACCTTTTAACTGCGTGCCACCGAGAGGCGAAATAGTCATGCATTCGCTGTAATCGTTGACCTTTGGTTTTTGGGATACCTTGAGGTCTTGGTTTTTTTTTCTTCTCTTTTTTCATTTCTTTTTTTTTTTTTTTTTTTTGGCTTTTCTCTCTTGCTGTAAATGAGCGGATGGAGGAAAGAGAGATAATATAGGAAGATAGCGGGTGAGAAGAAAGAAGAAAAAAGAAAATGATTAGCTTCGTGGAAGTTTAACAAGCAACAGGGATCAAAGTCCACAGTACGTCGGTCAGTCATCGTACTAATCCTTGATGTTTCGTCATTTGCTTTGAGGATGGACAATTGAATGTTACTCTAGCATTGAAATGTAGCTGATTTTTTCACTCCGTTTACGTATCTCTCACTGTTTACATCGTTATAACTTTTCGTTTCTTTTTTTTTTCACTTGCTTTATCACCAGTTATCACCCAGATGTCTGTCCTCTCTGTTTTATCACCCGTCATTGGCGTTATTCATTTCTTCTTCACTTTCTTCATTACCCGCTATTGGCATATTCATTTTTTTTTCCCCACTTGCTTAATCACCCGTTATTGCCGTATGAATCAGTATAACTTTCTATTTTCTTTAATATTAATACAAATATATTTTACCATGCTTTCACATTGTCCCGTTTTTTCTTTTTATTTTTCGTTGCAATTTTTTCAAAGAGATAAAAATACGCAATGATAATAATGAACGTTTGCTGTTTCGCTAGCATCTGGGTGATCATTGTTTAATCATTAAATTTATTAATCGCGTATGGGACAATACGTTTATCTGTTTGTAATTGAAGCGAAATAAAACAGGAGAAGGATTTAGGTAAAATTCAAGTTTTATTTCCGTATTCTTTCTAAATGGCTCAATGGGAATACTGGCCTTATTATGGGTTGGAAAATTACCTTTATACGATGCCATTTGAAGCAAAATTCAATATGATGGAATCAACCAAATGGATGCAAGAAAATTGGTTCCATAGCATAACATCGTCCATTGCATATGTTATTTCTATTTATATTGGACAAAAGGTAGCTTTTTTTTATTACTTTACATTTTAGGTGTTATTTCAAAATTTATTCAAGATCGAGCAGCAGAATTTTAGGTCTTTTTTTCCTTTTCTCTTCCAAAATTAATCATAGCAGCAGGCTTTATGACTGTTTCATAGAAGTTTATCATCCGCTCAGTCGAATCCGACATAAGCCTACTGTTGCACCTGCCGGTTGCTGCAACGCATTAGGCAACTGAATAAGTGAATTCGGAATACTTTCGAGCATTATTTCATAGCTTAAAGAGATCTAGAAGTAACCGTGCGGGAAACGTAGATTGTCCTGTATTTTTATGCCGATTTGTGTTGTCTTGTAAATTAATCAATTTTTTATTTTTTGTTAACTGGAAGTGCTCACCGTTTTTACTGGTTAGCCGTAAATTTTGGTCAGTTGCAGCTGATGGAATCACGCAAACCGTTCTGCCTAGATAACCTACTGATAGCATGGAATTTTGGTCTAGCATTATTTTCTCTCCTAGGCGTGTGCCGAATGACACCGGAATTATTGTGGAGTGTTCGCGAGAATTCTTTTGAATATTCGATATGCACAGCTTCATTTGCGCAGGGTGTCACAGGATTTTGGACCGAAATGTTTGCTTTGTCCAAGGTATGCATTTCACAAGTTTTGGGATTGGCAGTTAGGTGAATTAAATTTTTGGCTATAGGATGAAGAATAGGACTGGTGACAAGGTAACAATTTTTGGTTAGGGAAAAATTTTGAAGAAAAGGTTATTTTCAATCACAGTGCTATTCTTGAGTCATGTTTTTGTTGTACCCACTAATTGTAATCAAAAAGTCCTTTTCTGCATGACTTATCGAAATTATTTTCTTATTTATAGCTATGATAAGGAGTAAATTTAGGAAACATCTCAGGTCATGAATGATGGAAAATAACCTTCATACTGTTCAGTGAAATTTGTTTGTTATGTGTATGATTAGTTCATTTCTGTTGAGAAAGATGAGTATTTTCATCATTTTAGGTCGCTGAATTTGGTGACACAGTATTTATTGTGCTGCGCAAACGTCCCCTACTTTTTCTGCACTGGTACCATCATGTTACCGTGCTTGTTTACACGTGGCATGCGTATAAAGTAGGTTTTTTTATTGGCAAATTGTTTCCCAAAAAATTTCAATTCAAATAGATGCTCGTTAACGGAATTCGACTTGTTTGAGTCTTACTTTTTCTTGCTGGTTACCTCCCTCTTATTTCTTCTTTTTATCTAAATACTCTGCTCATCTTTGTGGATTACAACAAATATTTCTTGTCGGTGTTTAGAAAGGTATGGTGCAGTGTTCTGAACTATGAAATTTGATTTAACATACTTTTTTACGATTTTTTTTGCTGTCAAGCAACCGGTAGTGCCTTTAATGGTGTAATAAAGTGAAAATATAGCGATACTTTACACAATACACGATCCACACACACACACACATGATTTCGCAAAATTTTGCCATGACAGTGAAAGAAGTTGCAAATTGTTACCAAATTCCATAGACCTGTTTTTTATTTTATTATTGAAATTGATATCCAATATTGCATTTAATTTTTTACCAAAGGTTGTTAAGATCCATAGACTATGTTCGAGTAACAGAAATATTTGGCTCGATCTCCATAAAATATTTAGCCCTAGATCGATTCTTTCTTCAGGATCATACGGCCTCAGGACGATGGTTTATATGGATGAATTATACTGTACATGCATTTATGTACACGTATTATGCACTTCGAGCGATGCGTAAACGACTTCCAAAAATGGCGGCGATGATGGTTACAATTTTACAGATCTTACAGATGGTTGGAGGTGTCTTTATCGGTCAGTTTTGAGGACTTTTATCGAATAATTTATTTACAACGTTTGTCATCCCAGAAATCATTCCTTGTTTAGATGGCTATTAAATTTTCAGTTTTGAAAGAAAGAAAAGTGCACTGCTGAAACATCTGAGGATACTTGAATTGTTAGGAAAGACCCTTCAACGTTTTTTTAATGATTTCTGAATTAGCATAAAATCTTATGTACCTTAGTCGGATTGATGTCATCATCTGGAACAGTAATCTCAATGCAGCTAAATTGTGATACTGGGAGAGTACAAATATTTTGTATGTTAATTCCAGGAATAAATATTTTACGAATCAAGCTTTCTGGACGTGATTGTCAGCAAACTTGGAGCAACCTGTACTTCTCATTTACCATTTATTTTTCGTATTTTCTGCTCTTCTGCAACTTCTTCTACTATACTTACCTGAAAAAGGTTTTTTTTTTTTTTGAAAACTCAATCTACTTCCATTCACTGCAGAGAACTGCTCATCTGGTCTCGGTATTCTCATTGACAGTGTCAATTATCGCTCGAGGAAAACTGATGTAGTTTCATTCTTAGCCTCATTTTACCTCTCAGTGTGTTAATTTAGGTTCCAAAAAGCATTGGAATGTTTTCTATGATATGAAATCAATCTGTTTCATCTAAAAGCTGAATCACTTTGATCAATTCATTTATTGTTTTGATTTACCTACTACTGAGCAATATGCTATATGATTTCAGGGGAATAGATACAATGCAATGCTCGCTAATGGAATCCGTAACAAAATTCAAAAGGATATGATCACGGAAAAGCCATCAGAGGATAAAAATGAAGAAAACGATGTCGCTATGAAGGTCAGGAATCATTTAAAGAGGAGGGTAGTAAAATGAAATTGTGATAAAGATGATAAGAACAAAAAAAATCAGTTATTTTCTTATTTGCGTTATTCTATGACATACTTATTTCTATGCTGTGAATTTTATGTTTGCAAAAAAACCCAATGAAATCCACGGGAATACTTTGTGTTTTTTAGGCGCAGTTTTTTAACTTCTTGTTTTATTTTCCTATTTTTTGCGTCTGAACTTTCCCTTTATATTTGTTGGTTATTTGATTCTGATATTTTTAAAATGTGTTATTGTTGGGCTGTTGATGATATTTGTTGAATACGTGTAGGCATTATTCAGCTTGATTGTAACGTGGCATGACTTATTCGATTCAGATTCGTGTAAACTTTCTTATTTTCCTAAAGAGAAATTGCAATTTTGTTATGTTATTTTAAACATTATCTTGTTTTAAATGCGTGCTCATACTTTTATTTATAAAATTCACCTTTTTGATACCCTAAACATATGTTATATGTATGTGTGGTGTATGTATGTGTCTGTGGGTGTGTTTTCCCCACTTGTTTTAGCGTATATATGTTGGCGGTTGTTTGCGTTTACTTAAGAAGGGTATAGATCACTTGATACCTGTTTTATCTCTTAATTTATCATACTGAAGGAATCATTTGTCATTGTTTCGTCCTGTTATTTTTTTAAATATTGTCAGTCATTTCTAATAGTCGGTGCATTATCGACTACATATAGTCAGGAGGTAGAATTAAACGGGATGGTATAACAGCTGGTACCGTCAAATCTTTTGGAGAAATTCTACGTACAGTAGTAGACCACCTCCAGTTAAGGTACCTTTAAGGGATGTACACTTCACTAGTTGATTAGAGGTACTGATGATGGTGTTCTAATATGCGATTTCTTAGGACATGATCGACTTGAAGAAGGTTTTTTTTTTTGGAGATAATACATCTGCAAAATTTATCAGATAATGTTTTTGGGACTAGAAAAGCACGAATTTGACAGTATCTAAACACTGTTATGAGCCACTAATCGTCTTAGGATTGATTTTTTTTTTAATTTTTCAATTTCAATGAATAGAATATATGTGTCGTACCGATTGCTGTTTTTCGAATTTGCGGAACTATTCTTATTTTTTAGTTTAGTAAAATGATTTTCCTTTGTTATTCATTTCTTTGTCTAAAATTGCTTACTTGCCAGTTTTATAAACATTTTGTTTATTTATTATAGAGAATAAACTCAAAGTTGTACAGATGAATTCGATCAATGAATAGATCAAATCTAAACGCAGTTTATAAACCATTGATAACATAGAACGTTTTGTTATAAGTCTTCTTCTTCAGGATAGTAATAATGTACGATACATGTTTAACGTACTTCTATATTGTCCGTATAGTAATAATGATTAATATGTTGTGGTAATTGTGGTATGAAAACGAAAAAGAAGTGAAAGATTGAAGCTGGGTGATTTACTATATGTAAATCAATATTTGAAATACTGGTTTACAAATATCAAATTTTATTTGCATTTTCGATACCTTTAAAATTCTCAGATACTCCATCAACTGAAATAGCGCCTCTTTAATAACTTGTAAAATTTGGAATAATTTTCTCAAACATTCTCTATTGGTAATTTCTCGAAAGAAGTATTTTAGTATGTGGATGTAAATTGATACATTCGGGTAATTAAGTTTTGATTTCAATTTCGATTTCGATAAAACATTTCACATATATTAGATAAATGGAAAATTTATTGAATAACATTTCATAAATATGCTCACATTTCATTGATAATTATCCATGAAATTTTCAACAAATACTGTCCGTTTTTTCATCAAACATTGTATTGGACTGTAGAAACATGGACGTAATCGTTTCAGTGGTCGTTGTTCACCAAAATTTTTCATCGAGAAATAACCATATTTGTCCTTATCAATTATTTCATCTTTTTTCCTAAAATTTAGTTTCACATTATCAAAGAATTGCAATGGTTCATCAATCCTAATGTTACCAGGTACAAACATTACGGCTTTTATTTTTTTTTTTTCAAATTTCAAATGATTTTTAATTTAGGATAAAAATTTAGAGGTACAAATATGTCAATATTTTAAAAGTAGAAATTTGAAATTATTTTTTGTTAAAAATGCAACGATCTTTGACATTATCAAATCGCTGAATATACTGATATGATAGGAAATTACAATTCCATCCGATGATTTTCTTTCATTTAAAAAAGGAAAGGATTAGATTCA